GTTGCTGTGGGAACTGAGGCTGTCACGTTGAACTGTTCCTTTGTGACCTGAAATCTGGAGGCAAATCCTTTCCTGAATTGTCTTTTCATGAATTAGTAAAGGAGCGTAGGAAGCAGAAAATAACATCTGCACATTTGGTGGAATGGAGTTGCAGCTTCTAGTACAGTAAATGGCAAATGTTGAGGATGTGGCTTTTGCTTGGACTATAATGACTAGCAAAACACCCGCAGCTTCTTCAATAAATCATTTGTCACATAGGTCCCTTTTCTTGACATTTCCATTTTGATGTCCGCCATTCCTTTGCTGAAAGTAATTCAATGAAGTGCAAATCTGGTTAGTTTACAAGAGCGACTCACAGCATTGCAATTGCTTTGCTGTTTTAAATTGCTCGATCCGATTTGGTGAGGGGTTTGTCAAACTCAGAGGAGACCAGGTGCCCTCTTTCTGTGCCAAGTGCAGGTCGAGCGCAAAGTGCGGTCTAACTGTGCACATGGGTGGCATTTTCTTTCTTTCAGTATTTTCATAGAGAAATGCGTGTTTGCGCTGTTATGGGAGTGAACACAGGTGCCTTTCTGTTGGATCTCTTTCTTTAATGTCTGCTGAAATCACATTAGCTACCGGAAAATTGTATATTCTCAGTTCAGACTGTTTTAATGATGGCAGGAAGATCATCAAGGCAGCCGTGGAGCCTTATCAGCCTCACAGAAAAAGGTCTATCATGTCCAAAATGATTCCCTGTTCATGTACTCTGAGTCACACCGTGTGTAACATTATCGAAACAAATGTCAGTATGTGTTGCAAACTTGGTTCTTACTGGTTTTAAGTCGCCTAAGTGTTCCAAGGGTGAAAATAGAAAAAAGTCCCAGCAATAAGCGAATCAGCTCAAGTCCCAAAATGAACATGATTGAGTCCAATCGTGTATTATTTATTACACATTTTCCACGCACACAGTTCAAATGAGAAAAACTGAAATAAATCGAGCGGCATATGAAAGTGATGACAGAGAGCTTCTGGTCACGCCGAATGTTGTTGCAAAGTGTGCGGCCCTCTTCCATGTGAGCTAATGAATAACAGAGATGGGATTTTATAAGCAGCCCATTTGGCTGTTATGTGATGTCTTTGAATGGCAGACATAGTGACTGAGTGTGTGCCATGAATTACTCTCGGTGACTGCGCATTACAACCACACCATCAACCCGAGATTCCTTTCCTGACACTATGTGCGATTTGTAACTGCACTCTTATCGCACAGTAGCTACCATATATGATTGGCCTACAAAGTAGTGTCAAACAAATAAGTAAACATGGGTAAAAGTCAGCAATCCTATTCTTATTACAATGTAAGGATAAGATGTCGTGGTTTTAATCATGTCAAGCAACTGTGAATCTCCATTATTTAACATATCTGTATCAATGACTCGCATTTGAGCGGCACGATGGTCAACTGGTTAACACGTCCGCCTCACAGTGTGGAGGTATAGGGTTCGAGTCCAGCTCCGGACTTCGTACGTGGAGTTTGCATGTTCTCCCCATTTCCTGTGTGTGTTTTCTTCGGGTACTCCGGTTTCCTCCCACATTCCCAAAACATGCATGGTAGGCTAATGGAACACTCTAAATTGTCCCTAGGTGTTGAGTGTGAGCGGGAATGGTTCTGTTAATTGATGAAATGCATGATCTTTTTTGTCAACGTTAAAAAATTAGTTGAGCATCTACTGTAAGTTAGAGCCTGGATATGCTTCTTGCACCTGTGCTTGGTTTTCAAAGGCAATTTCATCAAAGTGGTGCCTTTCGATGAGCTTTGCTCTACTAAAATGTGACACTCAGAACAAAGAGAACTGATCACGAAGAATAATTCAAATGACCGAAACATTTATCATATTTGCACGTACAATTGTTAGCCCTTTGCTTTTTATGTCAAAGTAAACGTTTTAACAAATGCTAATCTTCACTGGGAGTCACCGCAGCCAATGGGCTTGGCCCTAAAACATAACTTTTGTCCACATGACGTCGGTCAACCAGTCCTGCTTTGGTCATTCCAGCAATGATTGTAGCAATGACCCTGCAGCCAAGCAGCTTTGGGCTTTGGGCACTGAGTTCTCTTACGCCTCAAGAAGAACACCATATTCATCCTTTAAATAAATGATTCTTTTATTTAAGCGTTGAGCTACGTGAAACACAGCGCACACACTGTGTCCCATCACATCCGATCATACTTAATTCATTAATGTTCGTTTCCTAACATCTCTAAGTGGAATTATATGGCTGGATGAATGTGAGAGTTCCTGGGAGAATACACATAAAGTCTTGAGTACATTTGTAAATTTTATTGCTCCATTAGCGTTATCAGATCTTTGCGATATGTTATTACAGGAACGCATTTTAGTCGCATTCCTCTCTCGAAAATGCAAAAAGAGGGGTGCGGAAGAGTAGGTGTCACATTAGGGAAGAAGTACTAATGCAATTTAATCGTATTGTAGTCTGTATAGGTGCTAACTGATACTGTAACAGACCAGATCGAGGTGATGGAGCTCTATTCATTCATTCATTCATTCATTTTCCGATCCGCTTTATCCTCACAAGGGTCGCGGGGGGTGCTGGAGCCTATCCCAGCCGCCTTCGGGCAGTAGGCGGGTGACACCCTGAACCGGTTGCCAGCCAATCGCGGGGCACACACAGACGAACAACCATCCGCGCTCACGCTCAACACCTAGGGACAATTTCGAGTGTTCAATCAGCCTGCCATGCATGTTTTTGGAATGTGGGAGGAAACCGGAGTACCCGGTAAAAATATACCGGTAATAATAATTGACACCTACAAAGACTGGAGTGGAACAGTATCACCCAGCATCAGTCAAAATAAACTTCAAACGTATATTACGTGCACCACGTTTGTCCACTTGCAGGGTTTGTACATCTCACGCCCCTTTAGATGCTTAATTGGGCAAATCAAAACACTGATGTTTTCCCTAGGTTTTATCAGTGTTTGCATGCCTCCCTAATCTCTAACAGGAACACTCCACTAAGAATAGAAATGCACTGAAGAATTGAGTTCAACTTTGATGGTCAGTAATGATGCGTTCAAAGCAATCAATGTCTGTGCTGTTCTACACCGTGAAGCCGCTACGGAGAGATAACCATCATCTCGGTCGCAGCTGTAACAGCGAAGCTCCTCTGCGGTAGGTCCATCTGTTCACAACGTTAATGTATGCATGATAAAGTTCTCATGCTGCGCCGACACAAGATGGCGAGACTGCTCAGCTTCATCCTGCTGTGCGCACTGCTTTTTTTTTAATATTATCATATTGCACAGGTGCGCCTTCATTTGCCATAAAACCACGGGTGGTGGTGGGTTTTTTTTCTCTGCACTTTGCCTTACAATTAAACTTAAAAGAATCAATTCATCAAATCTCAATGGAGTAGCTTGAACACGACACTACATTCTTTCACAGCTCACCTCAGTTGAGCCCGGAAATGGCATTCTATGACCCAGAGCTTCCAGAACGTGTGAGGCTGTAATGAGAAACGTTGCCTGGCCATGATTAATTCATGAGATTCCAGCTTCCGCACACCAGCCTTCAGGTCACAGGGAGTGTGCGCCGGCGTTTCGCCCGCGACCATGCATGAAAAAAGATGGTTTGCATGTTTGCTGTCACTTCCTTTTCCTTTCCCGTGTCATGGCCCCTGCTTTGAATATCTTTATGAAAATTCGATTGGATTCAGTCAATAGGGCGGGTTTGATGTTCTCTTGAACGCATATGAAATGTCAATTCTTCGGCATATAGTTTGAAAATAAATAAAGATATAATCCGAGTAAACCAGTTATTTTGTCAAGTACACTTTTTAGTCCCATTTTAACTACCGGTAGTTGTAAATGTACTTTTCATTCCAAAGGAATGACTTTTGATCTCTCAAGCCTGTAAATAAACAATAACAATAACATATGAAATAAACTACAAGTGATGATTATGGTGACGTTCTAAGTTTCTTAGACAAGAAACAATTTTTAAAATGAAAAGTACGCAAAATGTGTACAATTCATCACGTCTCTCTGAGCCAGTAGTACAGTTAATAATTGCTTTCATTTATTGGTTAACTAATGACATAATTCATCATTATTTATGTGAATAAGTCATCATATCTTCTTGTATATGCTCCAGTACATCTTTCATGTGTGGCTTGTTTGAACTTTTTTTTTTTCATAAATTTCAGTTACAAAACTAATAACTTTCCAAGTAACATTTTATATTTGATTGCTGCTCATTCTTATAATAAACATTAGCAAGACAGTGGCTCTAGGGAATGATGCAATTTGGGCTGGCGCATGGTGGTGGCATTAGACAGTTGCTTCAGGATACAGCCATGTAACTTGTTGCATCGATTGGCAACAGTGCTGCCTTCTTTTTCTGTGATTGAATCAGTGGTGTGTGTATCCGTGTTTGTGTGTGTGTGTGTGTGTGTGTGTGTGTGTGTGTGGGAGAGAGAGAGAGAGAAAGAGAGAGAGAGAGAGAGAGAGAGAGAGAGAGAGAGAGAGAGAGAGAGAGAGAGAGTGTGTGAATGTGTGGCTGTCTTGTGTGCTGTGTGTATTAGCGGTTGCTTAACTTGGCCATCATCACCCTCAGGCTTGCCTGAACCCTGCAGTCCTGTCACCTCCCTCTAACCCTTAGGCTGTAACCGCGTGGAAACAATGATAACCGGGAGCACAAGATTGGACCACCTCAAACCCAGCCCTGCAACAACCGGCATCAACATCACAAAACCCTCATCAAAAGACCTGACTGGCTTCAAACTACAGCAGCATATTTGCTAGCAGTGCCTTCCGCATTGCTGTGAGCAGAAAAGCAAAGGTGACAACTTTCGCAGAGAGGTCTTAACCGAAGGCAGGGTTGGCCCCCAGAAAGGACCAGGGAGTTGGATTACGTTCCCTGACATGCCTTATACATGTTTCATCTGCTGTTCAGAACAAAAGCCCCCTTTTGTTATCTAACACAGTCGTCTCTTCGCCCAGCTTGGGAGGTTGCCTTTCGTACCGTAAGATTGCTCTTCAGTTCATCAGCCAGCCACCCGCAAAATAGATGCGTGTCATTAAACATACGAGTCAGACCTAAGATAGCTGCTATCAGGACTCTTCAGCCATTATTTCAATCTGCAGGCTGGCGTTTGACAAGGACTTGGTCATTGCACCGGGAGAAGTGAGGAAGCGGCGTGAGGACCACCAAATAGGCAAGGATTGAAATTGCGCCTGCTTCCTTATTCCGTATTTTGGGAGTCGCTGACCTTTCAAGCGGCAGCGGTGTCACTCCTGAATTGACGCCTTGAAATATATTAGTTGCCATGAGTGACACATTTCGACCTCCTTCACTCCAAGTGAGCGTTCCAAACGATGCGCCGGTATATTCGGACGGAGGTAGGAACAGCCTGTCGGAGTACTCCATGAAGTCCAGCTCCTCCACACCGACGCTTCGCCGTAAACGCTTCAAGATGCGGCGCATGCGAAACGTCCCCAGTGAGAGGGCCCTGGAACGGGGGCAGCTAAGTAGCAGTCACCTCAAGGCTCGTTCGCACTCCGGCTCCAAGGAATACCTTCAGCTGCCTTCCATTGAGATCACGCCGTCCAGTGATGAAGATGCTCCCGCTTCGTGGTCGAGCTGCTCTACGCCCAGTGCCTCTCCACGACGGAAGCGTTTCCTGTTGAGGAAGTGGCTGAAAGTCAGAGAGAAGAAGGAGCAAGGCAGTGAGAGCAGGTTGGTATGGGCCTTCCCGACAAAGCTTTCCTTTTCCCACTTCTGCTCCATTCATCACCTTAATCCATGCTGCATCAGAGCATATGCTAATTCACTCATGTATGATGATTATACACGTCATGTACTGTACCACTAACTTCTTGAGAATATTAGCTTTGATATATCGGCATACTTCTTTCAACATAATTGGTAGTTTTTTTTTTTTTTGCTAGTGCATTGTCAAACATGACTACTTAGAGGATTTTGTGAAGTTAAAAGTAAATGAATAATATACCAGTTGCTAAAACGATGCAGTGCTGCCCAATGAATTTTTATAATACACAATTCAGAAGTTGGAAGATGGTGTGGTTGGCCAGATATGTTTGATTGCAGGGAATATTTAATTTCTGATCAATACTGAGCAAACATCTGAATGGAGCTAAAAGTTTTTAAATTCAAGAGCACGGCCTTTTTAAAATGTGAGGTTTGCCTTTTAAGCAGTGGCGCAGTTCGTGCATCGGATCGTCTTCATACTTGGCTTCCTCTTGGATGCCTTATTGTTCAATCTTTTGTTGCCTGAGTTGATCAGGTAAACATGTGGTCTTACTTGAAATGATGATATCAATTCCGGAGCGAAGGTAAACAAACCCCATCTCAGTTTTTCCACCACAATCAATTATTGCTGAGACGTTCCACTTTGGATCCAAAATGAACCTCTATACACGGAAGGACAAGTGTTGGAGGCAAAGGAAATTAAGATACTATCGATTACATCATTGGACTGAGACAATCAAGCCCAAGCTCAAGGTTCAATGCATTTTTGACAGTAGTTCTCAATCAGTCTAATTAGAGGGGATTCATCCAATGTGTGCCAGGTAGCGCTGCTAAATCCTCAGAGGGCCAATTACAGGAATTGGTCCATTACTCACAGCGTCGGTAGCTTGTCATTTTCCAAGACTCCATTTCTCTAGAGGCATCACTTCTGAGTCTGAAACTGTCATTATAGCCAGTTGGACTATCGGCACAGACCTGCTTCCCCTCATCTTGAAGTTTCTTTTTCAGCTTGGTATTTATACGAAAGGCATTGTGGCTTTAAAACAGGATATTCCTTCCGAATCTAGCGGTCTGGGAGTACCACATATGAATGGTTCTGCTATGTACAATGGTGAGAACACACTGTACCGCTGTGCAGGCAAAACTATTTTCTCTCCAGTCAGCATTGCTAAGGCGTGGGCTGTATTTTTCTTTTATTATTATTTATTTCTTTGTACTCTCTCGTATCTTTCGAATCCTGTTTTCAGTTTCCTGTTTACACTCTGATTTCAAGTATACATAGTATGTTATTTTCAGTCACACTGGGATGAAATATTTCTGTTCAACGAGGCACTACCGACTGTACTCTTACACCTGCAATGCTTTTGTCATGGAATATATGATGCGATGCTGTCTTTGCGCTTATCTTCCTAGATTTCACCTTCTTTCTTCTCAAACTTCATCTCATCTGCCTGTTTTTGTTATATCTCTCCTGATATTGTTGACAGTGTATGAGTGCATGCTTATAAGTTTGAGGGTGAATTCATGTAAGACTGCGTATTGTACTGTGCATGAAATTTGACATCCAATAAAGCAACATCATGAATTTAAAACGAGTGAGCCAGAGAGGACGGAGTAAAAATAAAGATATAGCATATGAGAGTTAATCAAGTATAAATAAGACAAACAATAAATTAATAGGGCCAGTGGTTAGCGCGTTGACCTCACACTGCAGAGGTTGTGGGTTCGATCCCAGCTCAGGCCTTCCTGTGTGGATTTTGCATGTTCTCCCCGTGCCTGCGTGGGTTTTCTCCGGGTACTTCCCCTCCCCCCCCACATTTAATTCACACGCAGGTGCTGCACACCTGACACGCAGACAAAAAAAAAAAGTGTTGTATATCTTCCAGTCCCATAGACCTCAATGACATGCATCCCATATTGTTTTTATATCACCACTCAGCAGCTGTAGTTTATTTTCATTAAAAAAAAAAAAAATCTTCAAGAACTCATTAATTCACGAAATTGCTCCGCAAAGAAAAAAATATATTTTGAGCCTTGACTATGTTGTACAGTAATCGAAAAAAGCCACTTGTGCAGTATAGAGTCCAGAGAAAAAAAACAAATGATTGAGCATTTTTGGTTAAACATTCATGACAAGTCCATCATCAGGAAGGTCACAGTCACGGCACAATAACGAACATTATTTTAAATACTCACTTGCCTGACCCAGCCCCTGACTCAGGACGACCAATGACTTGCAAACACCAGATTCATTTGGTTAAAGTTCACCTACTTTAACAGGCAAGGCTTTAACATCCGCACGCCACTTGTGCCCCAAAATTAGAGTCCAAGTGACTGAACAGACAGTCAACGAGTCCTGTAAAATGCTGGAAGGCTTTGCTAAATGCAACAACAACCTGGAAGATGTGAAGCGAAACCAGAGCAGGTGACCGGCTGCCGATCAGTGTGTATAATTGCATTGTTATCTTAAAAGAATTTATACAGTTTCAATGAAGTTAGTAGCATATGTTAGACAGTGAATGCATGGCACTGAGGGGACACGTGATACTTAAATAGGAAGTGGATCCTTTTAAAGCTGATTTGAATTCCAAAAATAAGTTGAATTGAATATGCTGAAGCCTGATGTGTTTTCTTAATTAGACTGTTTTTTTTTTCTGCTATTTAATGTAATTTGAAAACCTGCCTTTGAATATACTGAACTCCTCTTTTGTTACCATTGTCATGATGAATAGAACAAAAAAATGCCTGCAGAGATCTTTGTGGCTATCGTTCAGTTTACCTTGTCTTGTACTACTTGTCTTCATTTCTGATTGAATAAGCAGCACCGATACCGTTGCGGCAACACATTTTGTCGTAACTGCTTCAAGAACTCATGAATCGTCAATCAATCATTCACGAGCAACACAATTCTTATTTGCGTGCTTCTGGTGATGTCAGTATCATGTTATATAGGTTACACTGCCTTGCTGTCGAGTTCAAAGTGCTATTGCATGAATTCTACTTTGCTAATATCGCCGGCCTGAGCAGGATGGCTCCTGTTCAATTCAATCACTTTATCATAACATTTTTCCCTTGTCTGCTTTGTTGTGTATTTCGCATTTAACCCAGGCAGTGGAGTTTCTTGTGACTGCTTTGAACATACAACAACAAATTTCACTGTAATATAAAATGTGTGAATTTTTGTAATTACAATTTTCTAAAGAATTACTCATCAATAATTATTGATTTTTTTTTTTTTTTGTTGATGGAATTAAATTTTGGTATGATACAATTATGACTTGTTTAAAGGGTCATAAACAGATATCTGTTTACTGTTTCTTTTATTATACTATACAGACAGAAACAGGCTAATCATAATATGGAATATTTCCTGCTTCATATATTTTAGCTTAATCCATACCCCCCCAAAAAAAATCTTTTTTTTCAGCACAAGTACAGGATAGTCATAGTCATAGAGGTCATGTAGCCCCCTCTTGTGTCAATACACGATATGTGCATGTAAGGAACCTAAATTGTCAAATCATATTCAATAATGACGATCTTCTATTTAAAAAAATATATCCAACATTATTCTACTTGTACTATGTTTGGTTAATTATTGATTTTGTTTGAAAATCACCCTACTTTTTTGATAATAATTTTGTAATACTGTAGATGTTTTGCAGGTTTTGCAGAGCTGTCGCATTATAGTGCATTAGATGAAAAGTGGATATTAGTCAGTGTGAGACATTTGTTGCCTGGCGTTCAGCTGCAACAGTAACACATTTAGGGCAGCGTGATGGATAATGCTTCACTTTTGCCCCACCGGGCCAAACATGCTGCGATGCAAAATAATCCTCCATTCATAACCGGGACAAGGTGTAGTTAACATTATTTTCCGTGTCTTAGATGCTCTGCTATACATTTCTTCTCATTTCCCCATCTGTGTTTCTTGCTTATAGGTGCAAGAATGTAATGTATGTCTTAAATCATGAACAAATTGAGTAAGTAACTGAACTTTTCTCGTATGTGCCCGCAGCAGCCAGCAGAGTAGCCAGCAAAGCAGCCAACAAAGTAGCCATGAAGATGATACCACTCGTTTCTTGACTCCATTCATCAGAGAGGAGAGGTGAGCAATATCTTTCAAATTCTTTTGAGTGTGTTTAGATGGTGTTTCTGTCCTCTGTTTGAGTCCTATACCCACTGGAGCACATGCTGATACAGTTTCATGTGGGGTCTGGGGAGATAATCATTCAATACCCACTACTCTATTAATACTACAGCTACTAAACATTCTTTCCTACAGTGTCCACTAGAGGGCAAGTCCTCCTCCGGGGCTATAAATAATACGTTTTCACTCACCATTTATGCATTACTCTGCTATGATGTGTCTAAAATCAGTCTGAGTTTGTAAGTTTTAAATTAAAAAAAAAAAAAAAAAACTATTTAAGAGTGTAGAAAGTCACTGATGGCGTAGTTGGTCACTCGCCTGATTTTTGTATACTCTGTGGGTTCAATCCCCACTTAGTGATATTGTGAATATGAGTGTGATCGCTACAGATGTGCCTATGAATGAGTGGTCCAGGGTGTGGTCCCTATTTTGCCGCATTATACTCCTGTTCCCCGACAACTCCGAACAGGCATTTAGAAAATCCCTGTGGATTCTGTCTAGTGAGGAGAGTTAATCTCCCTATTAAAGTGTGTATGTTTAGAAAATGTTGTCATGGTCTGATAAAACCAATTAAGTTGAAATTGCAATCACTGCTCATCACCAGAAGAACCCCACACTTACAGTGAAGCATGCCGGTGGCCTTGCCGCATCATGCTTTGGGGTTGTTTTTCAATCATCTGCAACTGGGGCCTTCGTCGCGGTGAAGGAACTGACGAACAGTTTTAAATAACAGTCAGTGTTTGTACACAACTGTCAGGGTTCTGATCAATGCAAAAAGTATGCCAAAAAAGCCTACTAAAACATCCAAACTTTAAATGGCGGCACATGCGCAGCGACTCCCATTTTACAGTGTCGACACAGCTCACCACACCTCCACTTATTCTTTCCGTGCACCGCTCCACACGCTTCTTTCTCGGAGTCTCCCCCTCCTACGCGCTGTTCTAGCGCGGTCTCTACTTGCATGAACTCGGAGCTTTACCCATGGGATGGCTGGCTGCTTTCCTCTCTCCTAGCGAGGGGCTTTTGCAGCTGCTTGCAGGGCGAGTGGCGTTCTGTGGCCGGCTTTAGAGGGCACGGAATGTCATGTCTCCTCTGCAGGTAAAAACAGCTACATGTCTGAACCGCTACCTTGTTCCGGACTCTGCCTCCTCCATCCTTGTCAGTCTCACTGCACTCTTGTGACTTTTTATCGCGTCGCTCCGTCGAGCTGTGTGGCTGCGGTCAGTTTGCCGAATGCTCTATGTGCAGATGTATTTTCCGGTGTAGTAGCAGCAAGCCGCCATCTAATTAGTACTGCAGCTGCGGCGATATCAGCCACGCTGTCTGGTTTGCTGTGATTGTCAGGAATGCGCTTGTGCAGTTCCTTCCTTATAACGGCATGTATTAGCTTATATAATAACACAATGTGACTTTGCAAAAAAACGTAATATGACTCATGGGCAAAGATGACGCAGATTGTGAGGTTCAGTGAGACGTTACCGTGTCATTATACGGAAAGATGCTTATATAACTGCTGTTAAAGACCCGATTTGCATGTGAACGTAGGGTTGAAACATACATACAATTTACAATTCATCAACACACTTCAGTTAGCCGCTTTCCGTTCGATGGTTTGTGATAAACGAATGAGAGAACCGCTAATTGAAAGTTCTGAACTCCTGTTTTTCTCCCATTTGTCTGTTTGCAGGTCTGACAGTGCAGCCGACAAAATCAGGTGAGTGCGCATCGTGACCCACAAAAACAGATGATGTTGTTGGTCTTATACTGCCGCGGGGCGAAGTGGGGTTGCCTTTGCCGTTGTCACCCCCGTTCGGCCCAAACCGACCCTCCCATCCCATGTGTGACACACATTGTCGGCTTTGTGTGTGACAAGCGGTGTGTCTAAATGTGCTTTGCCTGTGGACTCAATGTAGTTGCAAGCTATGGAATGCCATTGTTGGTTTTGATTGCTGGAACAACACAAACAAGAGGTGGGGTGGGGGGTTTGCGGGGGTGCTGTGGCTACAGTAACACAGAGATGTCAGTGTGGTAAGCAGCGTAGTCGTGTGAGCTCACCCGCTGATTTCGCCAGAGGTATTCCTGAGATGGGGTTGAAGCTGAAAAGGTAGGTCAAGACGTGATGAAGAATTTTATGGTTGTCCCGGTTTTGTTTTAAAAAAAAAATGGCGGATTCTATGGTCTGGTAAAATTAACCTTTATAGGTCAAGACGTGATGAAGAATTTTATGGTTGTCCTGGTTTTGTTTTAAAAAAAAATGGTGGATTCTATGGCCTGGTAAAATTAACCTTTCGTCAATGTATTGCAATGCTTTGGTGCACTCTGCTGGTCAAGTGCTATTACGATAGCATCTATTTATGTGAATGGCGTTCATGTGTGCATCCTTGATGATAAATCAGGGGAAGCGAGTTGACATTTTGTACTTGGGATGCCAGTGTGTTTGCGCCTGTCCGTGTTGTTATTGCATTTGCCGGTCAGTCATGCAAAAATGGGTACAGATAGAGCTCGGAAGCCACAAGGTGTCTCTATACTGTACTTCACTGCACGTCATGGAAAGGGTTTTCCATGCTTACATCCAACTGACATGTATGCTTTTTTACATGGAAAGTACTACTAATACTCCTCCTAGACATCTGAGTGTTCTGAACCCCCGTTTCCACGTCGGTGTGCTATGGAGCAGCTCAACAAACTAAGTGAGACTGAAACAAGAGCGCCTCTTCTCGTCGCTGCCTGGTAGTGCGGGGCCTCTGTCACTTCAAGGCTCCTTTAGTCTGCAATCCTTCAACGTAATCTAATTTTGAAAAATGATTTAAGTGATTTAATTTGGCCATTCCTACTCGACTGTCAGGATATTTATTGTTGTGTTTGTAGATAGGCATGTTGTAGAGAGATGTAGCTGTCTATTTATGGAAATGATAGAACTATACAGCTGTGCCTTGGGCCGTGGCTTGTGAATATGAAGGAAAGCCGAATTGTTCAGGTTTGACCCGAGACCGGAATCAGCTGGTTGAAGTTGGACAGATCCAGCTGTAAAACAAGCATTGAAATTGTTGAATTCAGTTAACGTTGACCGATCAGTACATTCAGCAAAGCATGAACACATGAATGCCTCATCGGCATCTTGCTAGCTCCACTGTGGTTTGTAAAACAAAAATTTCACTCGGCAGAAGGAACAAGCACTTTCATGACATCTCTTCTGCATTATTTTGAAATAACCCTGAGATTGTTAAGCCATTTCCCAACGTAGGAGCGCACGAAAAATGATCCGAATGGAGTCGCAAATCCAGTATGCTGGTGATATATAAACTCCTATTTATATGGTTATGTTTTGACCTCACAAGAATCTCTTGTTTTGTCAAATGCAGAGTGCATTTTAATGACCATAGTTCTGTAAAATCATATTTTCCCTTTCCAAAATGAATGTATCTACAACTATGAAGTAAATTGAGTTGAGATTTTCCTCTCATTTGTTGTCTGCATTCGTTATGACCTCACTGCAGGTACTTGAGGTCTAAGTGGTACACGTAAAGATTGATCACGTTATTACAGCAACATAATTTCTAAATAATGCATGTTCAAGTGGCTGGCTGATGCCGGGAAACTTCGAGCTTGCATTCACTCCACCGAATTTATGCATCCAGTGGACAGTGTTTCTACTAGTTTGAATGTGTGCAAATGCTCCTGAGTAAAAGTGTCAACTGCAATTGTGTTCATGTTCGATTTGCAGATTTTGATCAAAAGATATGTTCTGCATTTCTGTTTTTTTAGTCTTTTGAGGTCATGTCCTCGGTGCTCTTCCGCTGTCTCGACTGCAGTATGATCGATCTATGTCCGAGGTTTAAAGGATGTTTGCTTCTCCTGACGCAGCTCAGCGTAATCGGATCTTTCGAGTGTGGAGGCTCATAGAAACGCATCCCCCTGTCGGGGTCACGGATAAGCTGGCAGTAAGCAATAAAATCAATCAATCAATCAAACTAGTCTTATGACTTAACCTTTCAAAAGTAAATTGTTTTCAGACTATTTGATTTGGGGAAAAAAAGGCACCACGAGTGCAGATGCAAGGATGAGTTTTAGTGGCGTGTTCTGGTAACAACCCAGGCTAAACATCGCATGTAAATATATAAAACTTGTCTCTTCTTCCGGTTGTATTGCAATTGGCTGGCAACCGGTTCAGGGTGTCCCCCGCCTACTGCCTGAAGACAGCTGGGATAGGCTCCAGCACACCCGGCGACCGTTGTGAGGATAAAGCGGATCAGAAAATGGATGGATGGATGTGATATGAGTGAAACTCATTTTGGCGATGAAGGCGAGCTTTACTTCGCGTCGTTGTTCTCGTGCCTCGCTACCCGTCTTGTGGTCCGGCTGGTATGAACATTTCATGATGAAAAAAAAATCAGTTTTGATATATTTTGGGGCACAACAGGAAAACATTGAATTATTAGACTTCAGTTTCGTTCAGTCTTTGGTGTGTGTGTGCAGGACAACTTTTATTTGGATGATGTATAACATTTAGAGTGTTTTTAATGCTTTGTGAGAGCTCATCAGGGGCCAAATATCTGTATATCCAGCTGGATAAAGAATCAGTGAAATTTCAAAGAGGCCAGGTGTGTGGCACTGTGGTGTTTGTGTTTTGTACTTGAGGTGTTTAATACGTTTTAGTTACCAGTCAGTCATGTTACACCACCGCAAACTATGACCACATTCATAATCATAGATTGTTCAATGAATACGTCTTTTCACAGTGTCAAGCAAAAAAAAAAATTCATTCAGCTGTTATGATGCCAAGAAACATCTGCTGTGTTTTATCGGAAATGTTTGGATCGTCCTCGGTGAGCTCCGTGCACTTGCTCAGCGGGTCCAGCTGTAGCTGCACACAAGCTCAGCTTGATGTTCTGACTATGATGTAAGAACACAGCTTGGTAAAATTGGGTAACCATCCTCAACTGGGGTAGTTATGTCTGAAAATGATTCATTTGGTGATGCGGTCGCAGCCTAGTTTCATCTACTTTGCTGCCCATTGATGGCAAAGGGTGGAAGAGGAAGGCACCGAATCAGAATCCGAGGGGGGAGAGAATGGAGCGTGATGAAGCCGGGAGAGGATGAAAGGAGGTGAAGGACCACCCTTTTCGAGCACAGCCATTCTCTGAGAGCCTACCAAAGGGGCCTTCCCACACACACACCATCGGCAGCCAGCCAATCAGAGCACTCGCATCCTTGAGCCATCCTCCCTCGTGCGACTGCTCATCCATGCCTCAGCGGCTCACATTTGAACTGATGACTTTGGAAACGAGGCTGTGCACTGCCTGAGCACTAAACCGGCTATTTCTTTTTTTTTTTTTTTACCTCTTATGTCGGATGTTTATTTTTGACTACATTAATGACACTTTTAAAACAGCAGCCATTTTTTGTTTGTTTGGTTGGGGGACGGGGGGGTTCGGATGTGTTTGTGCTGAGATAGAATCATTCTTGCTCTCTGGACATCCTCTGGCTTTAGAAGAAACAGATGAATCACTTCTGCATCCTTGGGTCTTGTTGTCCAGTGCCAGCTGATATTTGCTTGTGGAGGCAGCGAGGGGCTCTAATGAGGCTTGGTGATGTTTTCTGGACAAATGACAACAAAAAAAGAACAGAATTGATGTGATTGAAGTGAGGCCATGAGAGCGAGAAGAGAGGCCAGGATGGTGTCCACCTGCTCACCATGTACAAAAAGAAGGTCAGGTTGAATTTTTGTTGTTTTGGTGCATCAGTAACCCTGTTTGGATGAGTTTATCAAGAGTTTCTTGAATCATATTTCAAATGGGGCATGATGTTAAATTGCGTGCGTGTTGGCCAAGAAGCAACATGGCGATTTTTTTTCTCCACTGACAAAATTAGACCAACGTGATTACCCCTGAGATTTGCTTTGTATAACAAAAGTGAAAAACTAGTAAAATCGATTGGCCTCAATTGTTTACGCCCAATGCTGGTTTCTGACGAGGAGTGACTTCCATTCGTGCCAGTTTTATCGATACAAACAAAATGGTCTCCAATTTTCTATCACAAAGAACTACTTTTCCAGTAGAAAATTGGTACCTAACCCTAACCCTACTTATTTCTAGTAAATTGCTTCTTTTATGTAATTGTATAGCTCTCAAATGTACATTGCCCTCCATAATTATTGGCGCTCCTTAAGATGTTATTCGCGTGTAATAAAGTCATTTTTGTTTTTCAAAGAATATAGCACCAAATTTAGAAGAAGGAAAAAGAAAGAAAAAATAATCAAGTCCAATCTAAAATTCAAGTGCAATTTTTCAGTGGGGGGATCCCAAATTAAGATTTTTTTTTTTTTTTTTTTTTTTTTACATCAAGTCATGTGTGCCGCAAATATTGATGTCAGTATGTCGCACTTCCCACTTTTGCCAAGAAAACAGCAGCTAATCTTTTCCTCTAATGTTTCACAAGATGGGAGGATACAGAAAGAGGGCTCTTCAACCATTCCTTTTTACACAATCTCCGGTAATCATCCAGCAACCAGGGTCCTCTCCTCTGCACTCTCCTGTTTAGCTCCCTCAACAGGTTTTCAGTGGGGTTGAGGTCTGCGGACTGTGATGGCCAATAGGAGGAGCTTGATTCTGTGTCTGGTGAACCATTTCTCCAATTTTCAGTATGAGCTTCTGCAATATTTTTTTTTAACTATCTTAACCAGGGGTGCCAATAATCATGAAGGTCTACTGTCGGCTGCATTGATTTTTCTTCGTGACCCAGTGTCAGTTTGAGCTAAAGTACAGTATGTCATCATCTTCTTGTTGCAGTTCGTGCCTGCCGCATTCAATGATCCACGCATGACATCAGTGGTGTCTCAAATGTGCATTATGAATTTGCAGACCATGTGTGCATTCATGGCTGAGTCATCTCAAGGCCTTGAGTGACTCACTATGTAGTTCACATTGTTTGCAAATTTATCAGTAAATGTGGATTATTCCACCAATCTTTGTGTCTTCCGCACTCTCGGGACACATGATGCATTTGTTCCACCACATGTGCGTTGTACAAAAGGTACACGTTGGTGCCATTCTTCATTGCTGACATGATTCCTGTCCCCTTTCATCACTAGCTTTTACATAGCTCGCCTCCACCTTGTAATTGTGACATAGTTTGGACAGTGAAAAATATCCTTTCTCCAGGTCTTGTTTACGTAACAACACACCACTTCTAGTATTTCGCATCTTAAGCTTCACGATGGCAAGCGTAAAATCCACTAACGATATTGACGTATCAGTGACTGCGTCATCAAATGTCATGGTCAAGTGTTCAGGATCAGTTGTGGGCCTGCGATCGCTGTGATTCATGATTCACGTGGGCGCCGATTATTGAGACGAGGGGCCGTGTTACTTTGTACTCTACATGTGATTACACACACACACAAATGCATGTCATTGTGTGTGTGTGAGGACTTACTCAGAGATGACGGAAAATGTGGGTCTTGTTCCTCTGGCAACATCACTGAATATGTGGTGTGATTCAGAGAACACAATATCTGAATGTGATTCGAAGAAGGATGTTACAATATGACAAGGTAGGAGTATTTTAATGGAGCAATTTTCTATCCCCAGCTGTCCTAATGCTATACAGCAGGGGTGTCAAACTGATTTTTGTCGCGGGCCACTTTGGAGTTGCGTCTTCCTTCAGAGGGCCGACAGTGAAACCACAAAAATGTTGTCTCATCGCATGATTACTTGTACGCACCAAATTTAATGTATTACTAGTTTTGAAATCAGTCAACTACAATAGTCAATTATTGTTCGAGTTTAAACAGGGAAACAAAATTCTTGCAAAATCTCATCATTTATTATACATGACATTTTGGTACAGATTTTAGCAAGGATCATGCAAGTTGACGCACCTGATTTTCTTTCGGAGGGCCACATCAAATGACGTGGCGGGCCGGATCTGGCCCCCGGGCCTTGACTTTGACACCTGTGCTATACAGTCTCCAGATTAACACTAGCTTTTCATTTTGTTGATACCAAAATTGATAACATACCAAGGCCTCTCACTTACTTTTCTGTACCCTCACTGATAGGCCAAGCACAAGAAGTGGAAGAAACTGATATGGAAACATCAAAGGTAGGATATAACGATATACCCCACACATTAAGCAGTAAAGCAAATATATTGTACTTGAGACATTTATCACTCTTGTATATGCTCAGTTTCATTGCTGAAAAAATGATTTATGGTTATGGCACGTAGGACTATACTTTACACTAGCCCAGGAGGAAGCACTACAATTGAATTTAACATCCGAAAAGATCTTTTTACATCCATGCCCTGAACTTTCTGTGGTGCTGAGGTTTCACTGTTGCCAAGGTTCTCTCCAGGAGGGCCAGACGATTGCAGCGTTTTGATTCTGTGCTTTACATGGCTGAGTTCTAAATGGTGTAGTTGTGCCACGGTGGCACACAGGCTCCCTCTCGTGGTACACAAAAAAATCTTTGCCTGGACACAGCTCAGTTGTCTTAAACTTTGAAGATCAACATTTATTTACATGGCTGAGTTCTAAATGGTGTAGTTGTGCCATGGTGGCACACAGGCTCCCTCTCGTGGTACACAAAAGAATCTTTGCCTGGACACAGCTCAGTTAGTTGTCTTAAACTTTGAAGATCAACATTTAATCTTAAAAATTTTATTGAGCTTCATCAATTTGATAGTTGTCCTCCGCCCCCCCAAAAAAATTTGGGGGGCACAAAGGCACTTCCCACACAGAGTCGTCGCAATATATTTTTTGAAAAAAAATGCCAAAATATATTTGTATTACTGTCCGGATGAAAATCCCATTGACTGTTGATGATCAGTTAGTGTGCTTAATATCAGGACAGCATTAAACTCTCTGCCCATCCGAGAACATGCAACATTTGCAATTAGGTCAAATTAATTATTGCAGTCTTTTTCAATAGTGGAAGCAATAGGGTTGATGAAGTTTTGCATTCAGGGCGATGAACAAGCTGATACCTTTTGTGTCACTTTTCTGAACAGTGTCGTCGTGAATTGGATTAGCTCAAGGTCATGATGTGATGACTCATGTGCTGCTTACCAGCTTGAGCTGCAGGTAAAAACTGGAAAGAGTGGCAATAGCGTTGCGTGGCTCAGTGTAGGCAGCCAGTCAACACACCCACACAATCTTATACATTGAGTCAGGGTTCTTCACTTCATTTGCATATATTTACACTGAGCCTTTTTATACGTGTAAAACACATCTTAACTGATAAAATATGTGTAGTACTCTGTCTATATTTTAGGTTGCAGAGAAGTCAAATGTATTGGTACTCATACGGGTCAAGGATGAACTGAATGGTGTTTGGATCCCCCAAACGGAGACACAAACAAAATCCGTAACAAAAATATTAATTTACTGAAAAAGCGTACCGACAGGAATCGCTGGTCACAAGGAGCCAGGAAAAACAATGCATAAACAAAAAGCGCTTGGAAAAGCCAAGGTAATGGTAAAGCCGAGAACATAAACGAAATGACAAGAGACCAAAACAAGAGCAAGATCAAAGCCAAAATAATATCAATACTTACAAACAAGGTACGAGAAAGCAAAAACGACCATGATGTAATAGAGAGGTCTTGAAAACAACACTTGAGCATGAGCATCCAACAAAGTCAATAATCCGACAGAGACACGGGCACTTGGCAGTCTTTAAAAACTTGGCTAACCTAATCGCCAAAATTGGCAGCAGGTGTGCACGCTGGAGGGAAGGCCCTCCTCTGCTACATGCTGGAGACACACAAGAACCGAATCATGACAGGTACCACCTTTATACAAACGAAAATTGTGAGCAAAAAATATATATTTATATATATATAGCTAACAAAGACGTGCATTGTCATGCTACAGGTATTTAATCTCCATTTTTGGACTATTCTGTCAACATCTCCATTATGTTGCTCGAAATAATCCTGATAATCCCAATGTTCACCTCCTCTCTTCTCCTCCCACGTTTCTCTTTGTGTTATAATTACGATGAGTGTGCGATGGGGGTTTATTGAGAACCTATTTTCATCCTGTTTGCTGCTGCTGCTGCTGCTGAACCAGGGAAAGGCCCGTTTTAAAATGGGAGCTTTAATGTTCGTGCTTTGTTCTTTTATTCATGCAATCTCGTGGCACTCACACATCAGGCTTCTGCATCTGACTTTAGCATTTATATGGAGCTGGGCCTAATCATGAAGTGTTGTTATTTGACTTTCTGTCGTGCTTCCTCATCAGTTATCATGCCATCGTGTGTTACGTATCCACGATTTGGCCATGTGACTACCAGCAATGAATCTTGCGATGGTGTCCAATCTTTCATTTTTCATTCCTTTTTTGGCTTCCAATGGAAAATAAACAGTGTGGGCCAGATGAGGATTGAAGATGTTCCGAGACTAGTGCAGAATATTCATGTTTATATGAACGGATTCATTGAAATAGGGAAGGCAACATTTCAGGCTTCAATTCTTACGTTTGTGCCCTGTGGCTGACTGGCGACCAAGCCAATGTGCAGTTTTCCTTTTGCTGGCATTTACTGCAGCTCTCTGCTTTGCTAAACAGGATAAGCAATACAGAAAGTTCACGAATGCAATTCATACCTTTGTTTGGAATGTATGTTTCAACAAAACGGGTGGTACAAATGGTTAGCGCAGCTGCCTCACAGTTCTGAGGTTTTGAGAATCAGCGGTACGGAAAACGAAAGGAGGAAACGGGTTCAACAAAATGTCATTGTAAATTAGCCAACAGGGGGCAGAAAATACACTGACTTGACAATTTGACTTTTCTCGAGAGGAGCTGTCCATTCAGCACCACTCTCTCCTCCATGCTGAACACAAAACTCGCGTCACGTGCAACATGCGTGACAAATTGACAACGAATACAAACGCGTTTTTTGGCCTCCTATTTCTGACATCGACAACAATGCCTTAGAGCACAGGTGTCAAACTCCGGCCCTCGAGGGCCTTTTTTCCGGCATGTTTTCCATCATGCCCTTTTGCAACACACCTGATTCAAATGATCAGCTCATTAGAAAGCTCTGCAGAAGCCTGATATGGATCAAGAAGCCAGATATGGATCCCGTTAGTTTGATTCAGGTGTGTTGCAAAAGGGGAGAGATGGACTTTGACACGTGTGCCTTAGAGGAAGATGGCATTTTAATATATGCGCTCCCTTCATGAATTAGTAACGTCACCAAATGCACCTTGGGTGGATGTATTTTTTATTTTTTTTTTTGTGCTTGGCTCGCACACCACGGCGGGGTGGACACCAGATGGACTCTGTGTGAGACGACTTACTCTGCTCTTGCTGAAAGCTCTCGCTGCGTCACCCTGCCATCTTGTCCTCCTTTTTCCTCACTTTCTTCTCCCTGCTCCCTCTCCGCTGACTAACAATAGAATGTGGCCTCGTGTCTGCTGTGATCTGATGTGGCCCGGAGAGTCGCTCACTCTCTCCTGCCTCTTAGCTTGACTCGGAAAACTAGATCATAATCGTATTGTACTAATTAGGCATTTGCCACGTAAATCCTCTTCATTGATCGTGTTGTACGTTCGATCCAAATCAAACAAAACTAAATACGTACATCTTATTAGTTCTTATTTGGGAACATGAGCAAGGCAGTTCAGAAAGTGGAGACCCTAAGTACTCAAGGGCAAGGGGTGTTTCTGAACTTCAGCTTGTTGAGCAGGATAATGCTCTCTGAGTCCATGCTAACCAGCAGGCTGCAGCCATCTTCATCCCAATCGCCACTTTCTTAGCCTAGCAAACACGTTGAGACTGAATCAACAGCACCCTCTGCTAGTTGTTGCCACATAATGCACTCCATTTTGTCTGCATTGCTTTGGCCTTGTGATTTGCTGGCATCCAGTGCAGGGTGCATAATGTCTCTCTCCGGGTCAGCGGGATCGGCACTAGCTCACCCACGGCCCCCCATATTGTCAAATCGTATCGAAAATGGATGGATGGATATAATGCGACATTTAACTTTAAATTTCAAGTATGAGAAATCCACCACTGGAAGACCATCGGTCGCAATATCACTTCATGCTAAATAGTTGAGATAGTCCCTCATAGAGACTTCCCCTTTATTTCACTGCGCACTCGCAAGTTAGCATTGATGCATTAGCAGCTAATGATGAGTAATTTGCTTGCTGTCTCGAAAGTGGCTCCATCATCCGTGGCGGTCTTTGTGTTTTGTTTTTTTTCTCTCTCTCTCTTACTATCTTTTTTTTTGTTTTGTTTTAAATGACAGTATCGCTTAAGGTTTGTGGGTCATTGCCCTCTGGCTCCTCTGACCTGCAGATTAAACAAGTACTGCTTCATTTGGCAGTGCAACTTTGATGCCGGAAAGGTTAATCCCTTACAAATATAGCTTCGTAAACACGACGCTATAGCTACTGATTAGCATACAGATGGAGTGATCAAGACCAATATATCCTTTTTAGTTTGAATCAAAAATGCACTGATTTTGATATTCTGGAAGGGATCCCATTAGGAGATTAACACTATCGACTGACACTGGGCGAGGCTGGAGACCGGTACAAAAGAGAAGAATTGCAGCCGGTCCCGCTCTTAATACCCTTCTCATACTCAGCACGGAGGATGGATTGGCCAACGGCTACAATCAGCGCTGCCGTCCTGCACTCAGGGTCAGCCGGGCTTATCTTGCAAAGAAGCGAAAGGGAGCCATCTAGGGAAGTGGACAGAGACAGAACAGGAAGGAGTGTTAGGGGAGGGGGAGGGGAGCTATCCTGCGCCTGCTCACTGTGAGCACAGCAAGTGCAATTTTCATCCGCAGAGGCAGTGGCTGAGGGAGCAATGGGGGAGAATTTCAGCCAGCAAACTGGGACTGCTATTAGTCAGAGACTCGGACATTAGAAGGATCGACCGCGTTTGCTTTTCTGTGCAATTCCTCACTCTCCCACTTCATGCGGTAGAGTGCATCGGGAACGTCGCACTGCTGGGTCACCTGCTTCTCTTCAGGGGAAAGTAAAAAAAAAAAAAAAAGAATGTGAATTTTTGGCACAAGTGCACAGCACTGCGGCACAGAATGTGACAGGAAGCGAGGCAAATCCTTGTGGATTTCGGTTGCCCCAAAAACATCTGTCCTGCCGGCAGACTGTCGCTTTGCTTTCCTTGCGTGCATGGGAGGTAAGGATCGTGGAGGCTGTCGATCAGCATGCAGCGGCGTCAACGGGCGGCCCGGTGCCCACAACACGCTATGGACATTAGACACACCTCGTTGTACTGATGAAAAGCTTCAAGCTCGCCTGGTAAGGTGAAAAATGAAAAGCAGAGCGTGTCACTCGGAGTGTTTTTACTCGTGTGCTCGTTGCAACTGTACACGTTGAGAAGCGGTCGTGATTGCAAAAGGGCAGTACAGACGGAGTCTAGACTCCGGTGCTGGTTTAAAGGGTTAACAGATGTGATGCGGTGTCGTGCGAGACCGATTGGACCGCAATGCATGCCATACGCTTTACAATTGGGTGTTAGAGCCGACGTGCATCCAGTGTGGACTTGTGTGCTTATGGTCAGGCTGTGACAGCGGTGACCTCGCTCCGCTCCCCCTGGCGGCTTCAATTTGAGCGCAGAGCAGCTGAGGAGAGATGCTCACGTGGCTGAAAAAAGAAAATAAAATAATAAGGGGGGGGGGCAGGCACGTGCTCCCCGTCATCCCTCACACGGGGGCACGGCTCCGCGTCCAGGTGGCTCACTTTCCGCCTTTGCTCGCCGCGTGCAATCCCTCTCTTCTAGCTGCCCTCCTTTCTTTCATCGTCCCCTCCCCTTGTTTGTTTACGCTCCTCCTCCTCTTCTTTGCGTGGTATTTTTAGACAAATTACAGAGCGCCGCAGGAGGGAGCAGAAAAGTGAGATGGAGAGCAGTTTTTGGCAACGTGTGTCCCGCTTGCTTCTTTGGTGCCCACTCGGGACTTGATGAGCTTAATGAGAATGATTGTGTGGTGTCAGCAAGCTGAAATTGATTTGTGTGCTTCAGGCATCCATTCTACACAAGCACTGTTCGGCTTTAGTCTATCATGCCTTAATCACTCTGATAGGCACGAGTTGAAGCACCATCTGTTAGCATCCCCTTGACTTTTGTGCATGGAGAGCGACCTGTCTGGCGGCCACACTGTTGTGTAACCTCATGTACTGTATGTGCAAAGGCTCGGAGGTTGGACTGAATCCTGCTTTGTGCCATCCTCACTCTCGGACACGAATGCAAACATCCCTTAACCTTTTTAGTGCCGATGGTAGATTGACACCTGGAAATCGAAATTGTCCACAAAAGTCAGTAAGAGTGGGAAGTGCATCTAAAGATGCGGTCATTTTTTGATGAGTTGGCAACAACTCATCATTTCTGTTATTTCAATGGATCTACTCGAGAGAATACACACTTGGAAATAATCAGGTCTTTCGCAATGTCCAGCAACATGATTTCGTAATGCTCGCAATGTCAGCAAAAGATTACATTGATATTTTAATGTTGACGTCATTGTATTTCATAGTTTTCACTGTGAATTTTGACCAGCGTGAAGCTGATCAGACGGTTCAGTGAAATGACACAATTGTTGGTTCATTAAAACAAAGTCACGAGTAAAAGTAGTGTGTCTCTTTGTCAAAAGCAATCGAATGCTAAATGGGTGTTTAAAACATGACATAACTTAATCAAACACATTTTCACAAGTGCACA